TATATATATATATATATATATATATATATATATATATATATATATATATATATATATATATATATATATATATATATATACATATAGACAAAATATACAAACACAATAAATGGGTTGCAACATAACATGGACAAACCCACATCTACCAAATGCTGCAAACAATAATTACAAGTCCGAAAAGGAGAGGGATGACGCAAAAGCTTGTTAATCTGATTAATCTATTAATCAAATTTTGAGTCAAAAATTTGCGCGAAGTAAAATATAAATTATGTAATTTCCGCAGAAATGAAACAAATAGCTCTTCTCCTTTGTGTATCATGATTACCTTTGTCCAGTAATCTGTAAAGCACATGCAAATTTGGCATTATGCAAATGTGAAAATCAAGTGAACAGATCATGTTTGGGCATTCAGAATGAATGATATCTCCCTAGGTGGGAGACTCAGTTCTTTTTATGATTTAAAAGTGTTCAGTTTGCAATTATGTATTGTGAATTACTATTCATGCTTACCACTCTCTAACTTTAACTTTAGCTTGATTTTATAAGCTGAGGCAGTCCTTTTCTTTCTTTCTTTTCTTTTTTTTTTGGTAAATGAAAGCAAGTTGCAGATGCATCATTCATGTATGGCCCCAAAAAAAGAAAAAAAATCTGTCTGTCTGTCTATACCGAAATCTTATAAAATGTATAGTTTTTTTTTTTCCTGTTTATAATGTTTCCCCAGATGCAACTATTAATGTTTTTGTTATACATCTTTTTTTGTGTGTTTAGGTGGTGAGGGGGAAATGACCAAGGAGGATGTGGTGAGGGAGTCTTCAGAGGGAGAGTCGGTCCTGGGACGGTACAGCATTATTTCCCGTAACTCTGAGCGACCGGTGATCCATCAGGTGGCATCAGCGCCTATGCCTTCAGACCGCGGTGAGTGTGTGGGTCTGTACACGTGCATCGTTCATCAAAATGTCCTTTTGCTTTCAGTTTAGCCCCTGTGAATATTTTCTCATGCAAGCTGTTAAGTAGGTCACACACCAAAAACGCTGACACTCCGGTTATTTATCTCATCAAATTCTGTTTTATGATTTAAAAGTGTTCAGTTTGCAATTATGTATTGTGAATTACTATTCATGCTTACCACTCTCTAACTTTAACTTTAGCTTGATTTTATAAGCTGAGGCAGTCCTTTTCTTTCTTTCTTTTCTTTTTTTTTTGGTAAATGAAAGCAAGTTGCAGATGCATCATTCATGTATGGCCCCAAAAAAAGAAAAAAAATCTGTCTGTCTGTCTATACCGAAATCTTATAAAATGTATAGTTTTTTTTTTCCTGTTTATAATGTTTCCCCAGATGCAACTATTAATGTTTTTGTTATACATCTTTTTTTTGTGTGTTTAGGTGGTGAGGGGGAAATGACCAAGGAGGATGTGGTGAGGGAGTCTTCAGAGGGAGAGTCGGTCCTGGGACGGTACAGCATTATTTCCCGTAACTCTGAGCGACCGGTGATCCATCAGGTGGCATCAGCGCCTATGCCTTCAGACCGCGGTGAGTGTGTGGGTCTGTACACGTGCATCGTTCATCAAAATGTCCTTTTGCTTTCAGTTTAGCCCCTGTGAATATTTTCTCATGCAAGCTTTTAAGTAGGTCACACACCAAAAACGCTGACACTCCGGTTATTTATCTCATCAAATTCTGCCTGCGACTGTATAGCGATGGATTTATTTTTTCCCGGTCAGGAGGCTGCCTGGCCAATAAACAAACAACTTATTTAGCTGTTTTCTGAAGTGTAGCTTTATTTATGAAGTAAAGTGTAGACCCTAAATTGTGGACTCTGCTTAAACTGCTGTAAAAAGTGAAGTATTGACAAGGTCACAGAAATTATTTTCCAATTTTCTGCCTGTCAGCACTGATACATCATTCTCTCTCTGTACTCACTTCTCATTCACGCACACACTTCACTTTAATTCACTTCAAACTGAGATGTTTAACTGAATTTGAGTGATCGGGCTCTGGCTCAGCATGGATAAATCAAAATGAATAGGATTCTGAATAATAATTTATATCGACTCAAGCATATTTTTAGGATCTGAGGTTGTTTAAAGATCTTACAGATTTGGCTGCTTTGTTCTGCAGAGTTCTCTTTCTTTGACCCAAATGATCCTCTGTGTCGAGAAGTTCTGTTGGATCCGCGGACGACTGTTCCAGAGCTCTTCGCTGTTCTCAGACAGTGGGTTCCTCAAGTCCAGCGGAATATTAGTGTCATTGGCAATGAGGTCAGAGTTATTCTGAGTGTCAATCTCATGGTTTTTAAAGATAATATGAAATGTAATTATGCATATTTGAATGAAACTGACACATTTGTGATTTTCAGCACACATACAATAAAAAGAAAAAAAAAAATCTGTTATTTAAAGGGGTCATATTATGCTTTTTTTAAAGATCATTACTTTGTGTTTTAGGTGTAACAGAATATGACTCCACTGTGATGTGACCCCCTCTCTCCCTCTCGCTCTCTCTCTCGCACTCTCTAGCGCTCTCTCTTTCTCTCTCTCTCTCGCACACACACACACGATGCGCAAAACTCCGCATTTGAACAGTCAATAGCAAATACTTAAACTAATAACAAAACAGTAGCTGATTCAGAAGCGCCAGATTGTCATAGCAAAGTCAGAATGACCTCCTCTCCTAGGTTCACGAAACGGTCGTCCATAAAATGCATTGCTGTTCTGTTGTAAGTTATCTTAAAGATTCCTAAATGCATCTACTTCTGGAAGGCCAAATAAAGTGCTTTTGCTTTCGCCTAGAAACACACAGCGTCTCCCTGACATGCTGCTTCAACACTAACTGCGGTTCCTGAAACCACGCCTTCTTTCTTTGCGTGCACATTTGGGCGGCATTATGCTAATATTTCCACATAGTGAGGTAGCCATGGGGGGGCGTGCTAGAACGAGCCGTTTTAGGGGGGTGTGGCAGAGTCTTAACTTTGATAAAGAATATCTCTTTGGTTTTGAGACTTTAGTCTTTGCAACTTCAGGGATCTTATCTATGCACAATCAGCTTGTAACACTCCAAAGAGAAAGGAAAACTTGAAATCGCATCATATGACCCCTTTAAAATAAAACAACCATTAACTGAAACATGAAAAAATAAATACATACATGCAATCAATCAATCAATACATATATACATACGGTCAAAGACGTTAAGATGTCTGCATCAAAAGAAAATTAACAAAAGTGATTTTATGTCCATAGAAAGCACATTAAATGTAAGTAAAGTATCTTTTAAGGGTTCAGATATGTTTTTGGAGAATATTTGGTTTAAATAATGTTACATTGTCATTCAGTGTAACACAATATTTATGTGAAAATTCAAACAACATGCTTATTCTGACTTGTACATATTAAAATATATAAAAGAATAAGGGAGCATATTAAATTGTATTGTGTTTTAAATTAGTAAAAAAATATTACTGACCAGTGGGCAAAACCTAGGATAGTGGCAAATTTTAAAAATGTAAAATTACAACTAATTAGTATTTGAGGTGCACGTAATTAGTCTTTTAATATGTCATAAATTGATTTTTGTTGTAAATATTATTGACAAGATTGTTACACTGAATGACATTTCAGTGGGTCTCTTCTGTAAATCAGGGAAAAATGTATGATATGTATTTTTTGCTCGGAAAAACAAAAACAAAATTGCTATTAAATTAAACAGAAAACGTTTGAATTTTTACAATTTAAAGCAGTATTACACTTATTGTGTGTATGTGATTAATATAATGTTTTTAAATATAATGGTTTCATTATAAATGTGGTGATTATCTATAAGGTGGACACCCAAATTAAATTATGCATAATTTAAAAAAATAATAATTAAAAAAATTGTGCCGGAGATCACATCAAGGATCAGTCAAGTTTCCAAGTGCATAATGCAGCGTGGATGTTTAGAAAATATCTGCGGTGAGTTTTTGGGACATCTGGTGGTTTAAAAGAAAATTTAATATTCAGATGTACCTTTTCCACCAGTGCCACCAGTTTTCTATTAAGCGTAAAAATCATAGGACATGCAAAATGTAAATAGGTTAAATAAATTTTAAACAAAAAAACTAAATTAAATAAATAAATAGCACGATTATGCCTTAAAATGTTGCCTGCATGACCAGCTTACTGGGTTTGGATAGAAACAAAGATTTGGGCTGAGGTAACACTCAGAACTCCCTAGCAACCCTGTAGCTATGTTGATTAACACACGCACCATTCACAATTTCTTCAGAAGATGCAAAAATCTAATTGGTATATTTATTTTTTTCCTGAAAAATCTTCAGAGGAAAGGAATGTAATTACATTTTGATGAAAAATTGTGAAAACAAACTTTTCTTTTTCTTCTGAAAAACATTCACTGATGTATTGTGCATAACAAGGTCAGGGACATTTAGCATCTAAACAGGGTCAATTTTAATTTCATGTTTTCTTGCAGCTGTCATAAAACATACCCACACACTCCCCCAGTTCAGTGTCAGGCTCTGTTGACTGAAATATTATCTTTGCAGACAGCGTGTGTCTCTGTCAGCATGAAATCTTTAGCTGGATGTCCTTGCTGTATCTATTCAAGGGAGAATTTTTGTGTTCTGTAGATTCTGAAAAGAGGCTGTGGTGTCAATGACAGAGATGGTCTCACTGACATGACTTTGCTGCACTACTGCTGCAAGGCAGGAGCTCCAGGAATAGGTGAGCGTGTATTCAATTGAAGAAAAACAAACAAATAAAAAAATATTTTTAATTAACAGTGATTAACAGGACAGATCATTGATCCAGCACTTGTGATAACTGAAAAAAGACCCGATATGAAATCACATCTGATTGCAGGTGATGCTGAGAGTGCGGCCTGTTTCGCCCGTCAGCTGTTGTCGCTGGGAGCCGAGCCGTCCTTACGCAGCCGCTGGACCAACATGAACGCTCTCCACTACGCTGCATATTTCGACGTCCCTCCTCTCATCCGTGTGGTTCTGCAGGCGTCACAGCCGGGAGGTGAGGAGAGATAATGGAATGACAGTGGGAATCAAAATTGCAGTTTGAATCTCATAACAAACTCAAGTGCTTGTGTGATGATGTCCGCATGTGGTCTGTTGGGTTTCAGAGGTGGATGCGACCTGCAGTGATTTTGACTTCAGCACTGCGCTGCACATCGCCGCCTCAAACCTGTGTACCTCTGCAGTGAAGTGTCTGCTGGAGCTGGGAGCCAACCCCGCTTTTAGGGTTTGTGATTTTCTGTACGGCCACTAACAAAGCAAACTGAAATCCAGCTTTCTTTGTTTGTTGTTCAAGTATTTCTTGTAAATCTGCATTATCATATTGGAGCTGTGACACCTCAAGTAGAACCCATGTTCACTCTGTAGGAGAGCAATGTCTGCAACAAAACTCTGGTTCGAAACTGGTCTATGTCATGCCCTGTTCCCGCTAACTTTCATAAAATGAGTGCAAAGTAAAAAAGTAAAAAATTATTATATATTGTACGACAATGATTATATTTAATAAGAAAACATGTTAATAATAATAATAATAATAATAATAATAATAATAATAATAATAATAATAATAATAATAATAATAATAATAATAATAATAATAATAATAATAATAATAATAATAATAATAATAATAATAATAATAATAATAATAATACATTGTTTTGATAGTTATGTGCATCACATTATTATTATTATTATTATTATACATGTTTTTTCATGTGTGGGGAAATACATACCATTTTTTATATATTTTATAATAATAATAATGATAACAATAATGATATTAATACAATGTTA